TGATATTATTGTGAACTATATGAACTCTCACGAACTCTAAATTCTGCATGATTATAAGACATTTGTCTAAAAAGTTGGTTAGATTAACTTGAAAACATTTGCGGCGAATTATTTATTTTAGCTTGTCATGAAAACATTTGTAAAGGCCGTAGATTAGTTAAATGTGGTAAAATATTTTCCTTAAAAACACTGGCGTTGAAATATTTATTACAGCTTGTCACTATTAAACATCTTAGTGATCGTAAATTAATGGATGATTGACTATTTATCATGTAATTGCAAACATTCTCAAAACACTTGAACAAGAAGTATTGTTTATCTAACATTTATGACCAAATCAAAACAATACGCTTGAACATCTGATCAAAAATATGGAAGATATTGACGCTTTTCCAGGTTTAAAAATGTTTATTAATTCTGAACATTCCTTTATGATTTCCTGCCGTTGAAATTCGCAAGTCAATTGTTTAGAGAAACCTCAATTGAAAAATTTTGAAAATTTTGAAGAATAAACATCTACAGGGGCGGATACAGGGGGGGCGGGGGGACATTCGCCCCCCCCCCCCCGAATTTGGAATTTTTATGTTCCTTTTTTCAGAATAGCTTCTCAATAGCATGCTTAAGGGAAAGAAACCCTAGTGTAAAACAGGAAAAATATCCGTTAAATATCTAGTTTTTTAGTCTTTAGCCATTAATTTTGACTCTTTTTGAGTCTTTTAAGACAAAAAAAAATTGTTGTTCCTAATTATGAATTTTTTGTTCCTAAAAAATCTTGCCCCCCTCACTTAAATCCTGTATCCGCCCCTGAACATCTAATTCATATATGCTAATACAAAGTTTTAATGGTACCGATGTGATTTGGACATTGTTATCTTCATCATCATATTTTGATATCATCATTAAAGTCATTATATTGGGGGGGGGGAGGGGTTGATTAAGCACCTATCTCGAAAACCCCCCCCCCCCCTCTTGAAAATCCATTATTATTAAATCCATGTAAGAATGTAATTAGCTTGGTTTAACAATTCTAAGTTAAGTGGGTAAACTTTTAGAGAAAACTTTTTTTTTTCGTGCAAAGCTTGGTTCCAAAAGCTTAAAGTATAACAAAATTTGCTTTAAAAAAAACAATAATTTTTGCTTACAGAGAATCTTCTTCGTTTATGCGGACATTTATCTTAACGTTTTATATATTTGCAATACTTCGTATTTGGCGCTACTATGTGAATGGGGTTACAAGGTTTGATAGAAGGAGGGGGNGGGGGGGAGGAAGAGGGCGGACATTGTCTAGTCAGCTACAGTAATTAGATCATTAATGTTCAATAAGCCTTTTCCCCTTAACATTGAACAAAATAGTAATTTTATTTCGTCATAATAAAATTATTTCAGGATATATTGTATACTAGCTGGAGTACCCAGCGTTGTCCAGGTTTATATTAGTGCTCATGGTTACTCCCGCCGTTTACCCGCGCTTGGTTTAGCTAAAGTGGTAGGCGTTGCCCGTGGAATATCAAAAATTAAAAATGCATTTTTGCCCCTTCGGATACTTATAAGTTTCCTCCAAAAAAAAATTCAGTTAATTTGAACCAGCTGATATAGCAAATGTAGATGCGAAGATGATTACATTATAGATAATCTGAAAAAGTAAAATTACAAAACTCCTATGACCTGATTCTGTTTTATTAATCACGGCACAAAAATGTAGCTGAACTCTAATAATATAATCCGTCGATTAATTAATTGGTTTTATTTTCATAACATTTTTTGTTTCGTTTAGATTAAAAAAATGTAAAATCAATAAACATTTAGTTTGACTTTGATTGAATTTAGTGGAATTTAAATAATTTGTCTAGGATGCAATGTTTTGATTTTGAATTATCTTAATGTATATACAACATTACCACAACCTGGAGTAACTAAGCCTCAGCCCAAATGTTTCTCACGAAATACAATGATTTTTTTCATGTTTCCCCTGCTAACCTCATGCTTCCTAAAGATAGTTCAGTGCTCAGCTCTAATACTAGTGCGTCCTTCAACGGTGTAATCAGATAGATACAAAAGACAAATTGTAGAATTGAATTAGTATTATTCTTATTACATTTAACCAATTACGCGTGGCGTTTTATTTAAAACCATTAAATAAAGCGAGCATTCTCAGCAGTAGCCAGTTACCAGCAGTTCAATCCAATTAACATACATAGAATTAGATCTGATTCATTGTGAATTATTTACAGCAGTAATCAAATAAGATTATATTTTGAGAGATCTAGTTAGAGGAAAGTGTCACATTATACAAAAATATGAGAAAGAGAAATACTCGAAAAAGTTACAAACGACCATTTATCTGGTTTGAATTTCATGTTTTGGGACTTTTTTATCAATAGCTTGAATCTACAAATTAAAATAGATTTTTTTGGTCCTATTTAAATACAAAATAGACACTTTATACCTATACAAAATCGATTAATTGTGAAACTAACAACCCCTTTCATAGAGTTATAAGACAAATAAATTTTTTGTGTTTGAAATTCCCGAAATTCATTTTATAATTTTTCCTTTTTTAATTTTGGAGGGCGGAAAAAAGTATTTTGATTCTAGCACTCCGAAAACTTTTTAGAACATATCTGGCCAGCTCATATTTTCTGAATATCTCTTAAGCGTTTTAATTGTTTGGAATTTGGAAAAACTATGAGCTTAGAAAAGAATTTGACTGCCTGCCCTAAGCACCCAAATAAAAAACAAGATACGCCCCCCCCCCCTTAACCCTATTGCTGCTGGGGGGGGGTCAATTTGACCCCCCCCCCTGTAGTTTTTTGTACATAACTCAGAAAGTATTGGTCAGAGGCTGTTGAAATTTTCTGACTTTTCCTACATACCCAAAGCCCTCCATTTAGGCCTAAAACCGAGCTTTAATACTAACTGCCTGAGTCCTCAGGCACACTGTCTGAATGAGTGCCTTTTCCTGTAACAAACTAAATCTTTGTTTTGACCCACTTCCACTTGTCAGATTTTGATAAAATTTAGCTTTTTGGAAAGCCTTTGACATAAGGAAACGAATTGCACAAGTGTTGCGAAAAAAAAATTGCAAATTTTTTGCAAACAACCTGTCAAAGGAAATTTGCACATTTTTAGTTTTTCTTGATTAAAAATTAGGTTATTTAAAATTTTGCAAAATTTTTTGCATATTTAAAAAGGCATGGTCAAGGGCTTTTCAAAAATGTATAATTTTTCATTTTTTGGACAATTTTTTTTTTGCAAACATTTTTACTATATAACTGGATTTTGCGATAAAAAATCCAATTTTTGCAAATTTGCAAATTTTTTTGCAGAATCTAAAAGTAGAGCACAAGAGCTTTCCAATGATGTATCATTTGTCATATTTGGACATCAAACATGGGAATTAGAGGGGGGGTCAAATTGACCCCCCCCCCAGCATATCCTGGTTTTCAAGTACGCCAGCAGAGATAGGGTTAAACATCAAATAATACAATCGCTGAATAAACAATTCCGAAAATATTATGTCTAAAACATTTGTGCAAAAGAACAAATAATTCGAATATATTTCAAAACATTTATTATTCAAGCATTTAACAAGTGTTCTTACTTCTTGGTGGGACAGTATTTAGGCAAACATTTTAACAGAAAATTCGTTAAATATTTTTTTAAAGAAAAAATTTGAATTTTAGTTTTGTCGTATCAACTAAAGACATAGGGTGGGAAACATTTAGGTTTACATTTTTGGTTTACAAGGTGGTAGGCGGTTACAGCAATATAATGAAGGTGACTTTTTTTATTAATGTTTTAATTGTCAACCTGCTTTTTTGGAATTACAAGTTTACAAGTAATTTAAGAGAAGCTTTTTAATTGCCGAACAAAACACAGGGGGGGTTCTAAACAGTTGGTTAGTGAGTAAAGAAACTAAAAAAATAATAAATAAAATAAAAACTCACCTGCAGCTTGGCCTTCACCCGGTGGAGGAAAGGGGGGATGCAGAGTATCAAGCCCAGTGGCGTAAATAAGGGGGTTATTGGGGTAGCTTACCCCCCCCCCCTAGAATCCTTGGGGTAATTACCCCCCCCCTCTACTAGAATCTTAGGGGTAATTACCCCCCCCCCTAGAATTTTGGGGACACAAACATCTCCATTCTCCATTGAAATTTTCATCGTTATTATTTAATAAAGGACATTTGTGTTTTAGGATTTATAAAAGCTTTTAGATCTCATTCTTACGCCGCCTTAAATTAAATCCGTCTAAGGGAATTAATAGTTTAGTTGTTTTCCTAAGTTTTATGGTTATCCCTGTATATTTTTAAACTATCTCTGTCTACAGTAATAGCCAGAAAGGAATTTCCTTACTGTAATTTCTCCATTCTTATTTATTTTTTATTAAAACAATAGTTCGCTATAAAATGTGCTACAAAACAGCCTGGTTAAGGTTAACTAATAGTTTTTGAGTTCGCTTACACTAATTTGATAGTGTTCAAAAAGTTGTCTTCCTATGACCGAGTTTCTGCTATACATTACATAGACCGAAAAAAGTAAGATACCGTTATAGCCTTAGTTTTTTAAACCTTATTGCGTTTACCCATCCCAATGGGTCAAGGGACTTACTTGTGTAAGCGCGTTTTTTCTGGCTATCAGGAGTATGTGGCTCCCTCAGAAATTGGTATTCCTCCCTCAACGGAAATGCATTAAGAGTGTCCGTGTAATTTTTCTCTTTTATAAAAATTTACGTCTACTAACCTTTTAGGGCGCTTCGCACCCATATATATTTAAATGGTGAACATGTTCTTTTGTTTACATTTAAAAACAAATTTTCAAGTATAACAAAATTAAAACTCAACTCATTTTTTAAAATATCATTCATAAACCAGCCCTGTGGTCATGTGATGTCTCACAAAAATTTGGGTCCGATCGGTTCAGCCGTTTTGATGTTTATTGGCTACAAACAGACAGACAAACAAACAGACAGACAAGTCAAATTTATATATGGATACTAGAAATTCAAGGCGCGCCCTTCTTTCTAGACTTTTGGACGCGCCAATCTTCTATTTAAATTGTGAACATGTTCTTTTTGTTTATATTTAAAAACGAAAATTGAGGCAGCTTTTTTAAAAAGCGGATTTTCAAAATTTTTTACAAAATTAAAAACATTTTTAAATTTATTTCATTCATAAACCGTTCCTGTGGTCCCGTGATGTCCCCCAATTTGGACAAAGGAAAGTTTTTATAGGATTCTATATTAATTTTTCTATTTTTAGAATTCTACACCAGCTCTCCCTCCAACGCCAACAACAACGCCAACTACAACAACAACAACGGTAACAAGAACAACAAGAACAACACCAACGCCAACAAGAACGCCAACAAGAACAACCACAACAAGAACAACAACAACAACGCCAACGTCAACAACAACAACTACAACAAGAACAACGCCAACAAGAACAACGCCAACAAGAACAACGACAACAACAACAACAACAACAACAACAACAACAACAACAACAACAACAAGAACAACAACAACAACAACAACGCCAACTACAACAAGAACAACACCAACTACAACAACAACGTCAACAAGAACAACAACGCCAACAAGAACAACAAGAACAACGCCAACGCCAACAACAACAACAACTACAACAAGAACAACGCCCATTACAACAACGCCAACAAGAACAATGTCCACTACAACAACAACAACAAGAACAATGCCCACTACAACAACAACAAGAACAATGCCCACTACAACAAGAACAACAGCTCTGCCCAAGGATTTTTTAACTAAAATGGATGACCTGGCGGTAAACATTTTAAATTTAATCTAATTATTTATTTTTCTAGCTTTTTTCTTTTATAGCAAAAAATTGATTTACTACTCTACAAGCTTCATCAACTCAAGTTGTTGTTTCACAAGATTTTGCTTTATCTGGCAATTATCTTATAACTTCTCCTTCAAGAACATCATGTTTTTGTTGCTAACATATTACGGTAAAAGATTAAAGCAAGTTTTGCGGTTCTTATAATCCAAGTTTTCATGATATTAATAATTTTAGGATGAGGGACAGCAATTTATAGGACATTTGATAATTATTTTAAATGGGGTAAGTTTTTTACAAATGTTTAAATTGCTAAATTATTTTATGATAATATTTTTAAAATTCAATTTCTAGAATAAATTATATTTAGATTATTGCTGGTCTCCTTGTAGTTTTAAAGGTCTGTCAATGGTTCAAGAAGAAGCTAACACAGACCAACGACGACATAGAATTGATCTCGATCAACTTTTTAGAACAAGCTTAATATTGTATTATTTTAACCCAAAAAAAATTAACAAATGTCGTGTACATTCTCATTATAAAATAACATAATTTGCTATTTTTAAAATGTGAATTTTTAGCTAAACGAATCTAACTTTAAAATATCAGAGATTTGTCCTATATCAAAAATCAAAGATATAGGAATTAGCTAATTTGAGTTTGAAGACCATTTTAAACCTAATAATAAAAACGACTGTATTTCAAATTCTCTATTTTTGGGAAACCTGGTCGTGTCTTATAGCAATATATATCGCTTTATGTGAAATGTAATGATTAATCTATATATAAATTTGGCTTGTCTGTCTGTTTGTCTGTTTGTTTGTTTGTATCCAATAAACGCCAAAACGGCTGAACCGATCGGGCCCAAATTTTTTGTGGGACATCACGTGACCACAGGGAAGGTTTATGAATGATCAAAATTTCAAATATTTGTCTCCATCAAAATTCGATCTTCATTAAATTTTTGAAAATTTTGAAAATCCACGAATTTTTTTGTGAAAATCCGCGAATTATTTTTGTTTTGTTTTACGATGTACACAAAGAGAACATGTTCACAATTAATTTAGAAGATAGGCTAGTAGCTTAAAATTCTGACAGTTTTAGTATTTATTTAATATTTAGTATTTTTGAGAAACCTTGTCGTGTCTTATAGCAATATATATCGCTTTATGTCAAATGTAACGATTAATAGCTTAAAATTCTGACAGCTTTAATATTTATTTAATGGAAACATACTAAAAAATAAAATCTGACAGCTTTTTATTATTCCTTTCATAGAAACATTTGTGAGATCTTTTTTTACTTGTGTGTGTGTGTGTCTGTCTGTCTGTCTTTTCTTCTCTACTCTTGTTCTCTTATCTCTTTTCTTCTCTTCTCTTCTGTTCTCTTCTCTTTTTTCTCATCTTTTCTTTTCTTCTCTATACTTATTCTCTTATCTCTTTTCTGCTCTTTTCTATTCTTCTGTTCTCTTATCTCTTCTTTTCTCTACTCTTCTTCTTTCTCTTATCTTTTTTTCTTTTCTTATTTTTTCTTCTGTTCTATTTTTTCTCAGCTTTTCTTTTCTTCTTTACTCTTGTTCTCTTTTATCTTTTCTTCTCTTCTCTTCTCTTGTTCTCTTATCTCTTTAACTCTCTTTTTCTATTCTTCTGTTCTCTTATCTCTTTTCCTCTCTTTTCTATTCTTCTGTTCTCTTATCTCTTCTCTACTCTTCTCTTATCTCTTTTCTACTCTTCTCTTATTTATTCTCTACGCTTCTTTTATCTCTTTTCTCTTTTCTTTTCTTATTTTTTCTTCTGCTCTATCTTTTTCTTTTCTTTACTACTCTTCTGTTCTCCTATCTTTTCTTCTCTTCTCTTCTGTTTTCGCTTTTCTTTTCTGCTCTTCTGTTCTCTATTTTCTTTTCTTCTCTTTTTCTAATCTTTTCTTCTCTAATTTTATCTATCCTTTTTTCTCCGGTTTTCTGTTCTCTTATCTCTTCTTTTCTCTACTCTTCTGTTCTCTTATCTCTTTTCTTCTATTTTTGTTCTATTTTTCTCAGCTTTTCTTCTCTACTCTTGTTCGCTTTTATCTTTTCTTCTCTTCTCTACTCTTTTTTCTTCTATTCTATTTTTTCTCATCTTTTATATTCTTCTGTTCTTTTATCTCTTTTCCTCTCTTTTCTATTCTTCTGTTCTCTTATCTCTTCTTTTCTCTACTCTTCTTATATCTCTTATCTCTTTTCTTTTTTCTTCTGTTCTATCTTTTTCTTTTCTTTACTTCTCTTCTGTTCTCATATCTTCTCTTCTGTTCTAGCTTTTCTTTTCTGCTCTTCTGTTCTCTATTTTCTTTTCTACTCTTTTTCTAATCATTTCTTCTCTACTTTTATTTCTCCTTTTTTCTCCGGTTTTCTGTTCTCTTATCTCTTTTCTCTACTCTTCTGTTCTCGTATCTCTTTTCTTCTATTTTTGTTCTTTTTTTCTTTTGTTTTCCAATCTCTTCTCTACTCTTCTCTTGTCTCTTTTCTACTCTTCTCTTAGCTCTTCTCTACGCTTTTTGTTCTTTTTGTTGTCAACATTCAACCGGTTTTGAGATTAAACACTTTGCAGTACTATCTGTTATGATTTTTTCCTGCTGTGTTTACATTTTTAGCTTGTAGACTGAAATGAATCGTACTGCTTTTGTACTCTATAAATAGGAATTTAATCATTTAACCTTTGATATTTTGATATTTTTCCTTTGAGTCGTATAAAGCTTTTGAAGAATCTGTAAATCATAAGTTTGAGCGTTAATTCAAGGCTCAATATTTAGCGGTGAATAAGTTTTTAAATTCGTAACTAACAACGAGATAAATGTAAAAATATCTATAATCAACTAATTAGTTGATTAGGAACTGGAGGCGAAAATAAATATAGGTGAAAGAAGAATTCTGCTGCAAACTTAGTTTGAATATCTTACATATCTGATCATTTTAGTACATTGATCCATATCTCAACACCAATGAAACAGTAAATCGGAATGCTGTTCTGTGGAATTATAAAATTTGCACATGTTAAATTTCCTTGTGTATATATTCTCAACACAGAAAGTCCATGTTAGTTGATCCGATGTCTCCGAGAATTACAATGGCCCGGGTAAATAGTTTAAATTATTATTAAAATTCGATCGTCATTAAATTTTTGAAAATTTTGAAAATCCGCTAAATTTTTTGTGAAAATCCGCGATTTATTTTTGTTTTGTTTTACAATGTACACAAAGAGAACATGTTCACAATTAATTTAGAAGATGGACGCGAAGCGCCCTCTAAGGCTAGTCTATATATAAATAGGGCTTGTCTGTCTGTTTGTTTGTCTGTCTGTTTGTATTCAATAAACGTCAAAACGGCTGAACCGATCGGATCCAAATTTTTTGTGGGACATCTAGGGACCCCAGGGAAGGTTTATGAATGATCAAAATTTAAAATATTTGTCTCCATCAAAATTCGATCGTCATTAAATTTTTGAAAATTTTGAAAATTCTCTAAATTTTTTGTGAAAATAATTTTAGATTTTCTATAAAATAATATTCCAGGGTCCAACAGGTTATATCATTTGATTTATAGTTATAACAGAAAATCATCGTTTGTAAAGTGGAAGGCATAGAGTCTATGTGAAATGATCATTGATCAATTATGAAACCAGCCTACTTTATAATTTAGTTTTCTTTTAACAATAATTTTAGATTTTCTATAAAATAATATTCCAGGGTCCAACAGGATATATAGCATAAATATGTAAAGTACAACTGCAGTATGGAAACAATACAACAAAATGGCCTTTTTACACTTTTTTCCAGTAAATTCCTCTCTATATATTCTATTCTCTATGTCAATAAACGTTAAAACGGCTGAACCGCTCGGATCCAAATTTTTTGTGGCACCTCCCTTTATCCCAGGGAAGGTTTATGAATGATCAAAATTTCAAAATATTTGTCTCAAAATCAAAATTCGATCTTCATTAAATTTTTGAAAATTTTAAAAATCCATGAAATTTTTTGCGAGTGCAGAAATATAATTCCTAAATAAAATAAAAACATATTAATTTTTGTTTTTTAGAATTACAGACTACTCCGCAGTGGCTATTATTTCTATTGAAGAATTGAGATTCTTTTTTGTGTTTTATTTTAACCTAAACCAGCAGGCATTATTATTTTGTATTTTGGGTTTGAAAATAAATACTATAAATTACCAACTAATATTTTTGTCTTAATATATTTATATGAATCTCCAAAAAAGGAATTGACTTTCAACAAAAAATTATCTATTCATAGGCAACAAAATTATATTTAAAAATACTTGTTGGTATTATGCAGATTAGAAATAAAATATTTGCTCAACACCTAAGACAACCTGTCATACTTATTTTTATTATTAGACATTAACATCATAAGTATAAAAATGTTTTTTGAGTGCGGACTAATTATCTACTTGTAAATGTACAATGAATATATGTTGAGTTTTCAATATTTGTTTCAACAAATACGATCAAAACAAACAATATATTTTTAATTGGTTCATAATAAATTTTCTTTTGGGATTTATTTTAAGCGGAATCAGCAGGCATTATGTATTTTGGGTTTGAAAATACATACTATAAATTATTTATAAGAACTGGTAATTAATTAGTGTAAATTAGGGAGAACCATATTCTGGACTTTTTGATTTTGCATCCATCTATCTATCATTAGTAAAAAAAAGATGCTGAAATTAGCCCCACACCTAAGACAACCTCTCATACTCATTTTTATTAATAGACATTAACATCATAAGTATAAAAAAAATGTTAATGGCTATTCATAAAAAAGGACAGGTCGTCTTAGGTCCAAAAATTTAGTTATTACATTATAGGTTTATAACAGTTTTTCATTTATTTTGTTAGTTACATAACTACACAGTTATCCACCTAAAAAATTAAAACTAAATTCTTTGTTTTAGTTGTTAAAAAAAATTGTTTAATCGTTAAACTGTTTTTAAAATATAAAGCCTTGAAACCTTGAACTGAAAATTAGATAGCTTATATTTTGCTAATCAGGGAGCATGGGAAGGACTCCAGGTTCAAGGCTGTTGACAAGACGAGGGACAGGGAGGGACACTTCAACGATTTCATCATGGAGCTGAGGAAGAGGGAGAAAGATGAGAGGGAGGAGAAGAAGAAGAATGCGAAGAAGGAATTTAAATCCATTCTCCGGGATACAGAGGAGATAGATAGACCTTACAGACTACTCCGCAGTGGCTATTATTTCTATTGAAGAATTAGGATTGGAAAGCAGGCGAAAGGCTTGCAAATATATTCAGGACTAGGGCCGCAACCCTTTTTACAATCAACAAGAATGGGTTCACACCCTTTGCTAATAGTAGATGTCAAAGTCTACTACAGATAACGAGTATGTATTCATAAGTTCAATGAATGCATTCCTGAAAATGTTTTGAATATTTGAGTGCTGACTAATTATCTACTTGTAAATGTACAATGAATGTATTCTAAGTTGAGTTTTCAATATGTATACTTTGTTTCAACAAATACGATCAAAACAAAATTATCAAACAATATATTTTAATTGACTCATAATAAATTTTCTTTTGTGTTTTATTTTAAGCTAAACCAGCAGGCAAAAATAAATACTATAAATTATGAGAACTGGTAATTAACTAATTTAAGGATCTTTACACCCTATTCTAAACTTTTTGATTTATCAAGTATCTATCTATCATAAGTAAAAAAGTATGAAGAAATTTGCCCGACACCTAAGACATCCTGTCATACTCATTTTTATGAATAGACATTAACATCATAAGTATAAAAAAAATGTTAATGGCTATTCATAAAAAAGGACAGGTCGTCTTAGGTGTCAGGCATATTTCATCATACTTTTTATACTTATGATAGATAGATACTCAACAAATCAAAAGGGCAAGAATAGGGTGTAAACTTCCTTAAAATACACTACTTACTTAATCTTTCAAATTGTAGTATACATTAATTAACCTTAAAAATCAACAAGTAAAGTTTTGATGAAGTTTAAGTGTCCACAATTTACAATTTTAAAAACATTTGCTTTTCTTACACTTCGCTGTAACTTTCGATTCTGAATGACAAAAAAACGATGCAATGCACATCACTACCTGAGAGACGGACTGAACCAGCTCGAAGGATGGGAAGGATTGAAACCCGTACTCAGAGCAGAACCTAGAGATAGGATGGTTTTATTCGGTAGAAGGACGCGTGGAGGGATGTAGGGAGGATGAATGAAAGGATAAATAATTGAATGAATGGATAAAAGGATGGTTAAATGAAGACGGATTTGTCTAGGTTGGAAATTGAATCAATCCTTCTTTCAATGGAGAAATGGGAACAATGTTAAAAATCAAAATTGAAAAGACAATGAGGGATTAATTAAGGAAATTAAGTGTAGGATGATGATGATAAAAGGGACTGTAGACATATTTTAAAGTAGTTCCCTATTTATAAAGTGGCTTAAGCCGAATAACATTGATCAAACATGCAAAATGACTCGCGGATTTACATGCCTTAATTTTTTTTAATTGTATTAATCAACCAGTAGCAATGTGAAAATAAAATGTCTCCTCAATAAAAAATTTTTACCTTTACCTGGGTATACTCCGTATATCTCAGGATCCCAATATTTACCTGGGTATACTCCGTATATCTCAGGATCCCAATATTTACATGGGTACTCCTTATATCCCAGGATCCCAATATTTAGCTGGGTACTCCGTATATCTCAGGATCCCAATATTTACCTGGGTACTCCGTGTATCTCAGGATCCCAAAATTTAACTGGGTACTCCGTATATCCCAGGATCCTGGGTACTCCGTATATCTCAGGATCCCAATATTTACCTGGGTACTCCGTGTATCTCAGGATCCCAAAATTTAACTGGGTACTCCGTATATCCCAGGATCCCAATATTTACCTGGGTACTCCGTATATCTCAGGATCCCAATATTTACTTGGGTACTCTGTATATCTCAGGATCCCAATATTTACCTGGGTACTCCGTATATCTCAGGATCCCAATATTTACCCGGGTACTCCGTATATCTCAGGATCCCAATATTTACCTGGGTACTCCGTATATCTCAGGATCCCAATATTTACCTGGGTACTCCGTATATCTCAGGATCCCAATTGTTGTCTCTGCTCGTGAAAGGTTCATAATAATTGAAATGTAAAAAAATTTAAAATTCTTTTTAAAAGTATAGGATGACAGTTCAATTCTCAGTGGTCAAAAGAAACTGATTTCTCGCCTAGGAACTTAAATTTAAATATAGATTTTCTATGGGGGGGGGGGGAGAGGAGGCATTTAGAAATTGAGGGCGCCGATTTTAATGATTTAATGATTTTAACCCATCCATGATGAATATCAAAATTGGGGCTAAGCTGATTTGGTTTAAATTTGTTTCTATTTTTTATTGAATAAAGTCTTAATATGGGGACTAGAAAATTAGAGTTTGGGGTGAGTATTTAGTTTGTTTAAGGGGTTAAATATGGCCTTCGTACATACTCCAACTTTTCCCCTTGCTTCTCCTTCTTCCCCCTTCCCCTTTTTCCCTACGAACCCCAACCCTTCCCTTTCCAAACACCAATTTTTCCTTGTAGTAAAATTTTTAGCGTTTTAACATTCTATTTAGGTGCTTACAAAGTTGCAGACAAAAACACACATAACACATCCTCCATACACGTTCAACTATTCTAAATTCAACTTGTAAATCCCTCAAAACACTCCTCATACAATTTGAAATAACATGACGTTATGAGATGATTTAAATTAGATGTTAGGGATGAGCTTAATGAGCATCGTAGTTGGAGGAGGGGGGGACGGAGGGGAAAAATTTCAAATATTTTGAAATTTCGAAAATCATCAGATTTTCATGAAACTCGGAACATAGATACTTGATAGTTGGGGTTTTTAAACATAGATACTTGATAGTTGGGGTTCTTAAACATAGATACTTGACAGTTGGGGTTCTTAAACATAGATACTTGACAGTTGGGGTTCTGAAACATAGATACTTGACAGTTGGGGTTCTTAAACATGTTCTCGGAACATAGATACTTGACAGTTGGGGTTCTTAAACATGTTCTCGGAACATAGATACTTGACAGTTGGGGTTCTTAAACATGTTCTCGGAACATAGATACTTGACAGTTGGGGTTCTTAAACATGTTCTCGGAACATAGATACTTGACAGTTGGGGTTCTTAAACATAGATACTTGACAGTTGGGGTTCTGGAACATAGATACTTGACAGTTGGGGTTCTTAAACATGTTCTCGGAACATAGATACTTGACAGTTGGGGTTCTTAAACATGTTTTCGCTCTTGAATCCGAGCATTAGCCCTTATGCTCGGTTTGGATTTTCATTGGAGACCCAAATAAATTTATTGGAGACCACAGATTTTCTTTTAGACCGACAAATTTTCTTTGGAGACATCTATATTTTCATTGGAAACCTCCAGAAGTTTTTGAAAGACCCCAAGATTTTCATTAGGGACCCCTAACATTTTTTTTGGAGACCTCCAGAGTTTTATTGGAGTTCCAGATTTCCTTTGGAGACATCTAGATTTTCATTGGAGACCCCCAGAATATCTTGGAAGAACCCAAGATTTTCATTAGAGACCCCTCAGATTTTCTTTGGAGACCCCCAGATTTTAATTGGAGACCCATCAGATTTTCTTTGGAGTCCACCAGAGTTTCATTGGAGACCTCCAGATTTTTATTGGAGACCCCAGATTTTCGTTGGAGTAGTAGAGCTGTTCAATGGTTGGTAGATATTTCAGCATTTTTAAAATCTGTTAAATGTTTTGATAAAACTAGTTCCTATAACAGTCCTAATATGTCACAGTAAAATGTGTACAAAACCCCTATACTCCCTACCTTGATTATACTCCCTACCTTGATTATACTCCCTACCTTGAGTATACTCACATTGATTCTGGCAAACTTACAATTCTAGGAAATTATTATTGTCGGAAGATAATTCGAAGAAAAATCTTGATTCTAGTTTTAACAGCTTTGAAATCTTTCCTTTCCTTCGTGGCCTCACACATCACAACTTCACACATCACAACCTTACACATCACAACTTTACACATTACAACTTCACACATCACAACTTTACACATCACAACTTTACACATCACAACTTTACACATCACAACTTTACACATCACAACTTTACACATCACAATTTCAATTAATGTTGAACTGAAAGAGACTGTAATTTAAATGAGCCTTCAGTTCAAGAGGGCAATGTCTGATTCACAACGGTACGCTTGAACCCTTAATCTTAACAATTATGTGGAAAAAATCATCGTTGCTTTAGCTTGAAAAATGTTTAATGCTGATAATTTCTTCATTGTTTCTAGAGCATTAAATGCGCAAGTTGCTTGTAAGAGAATCCACAAATGGAAAATAAGTTTTAAAAAAACAAGGAAATATCATACTTATACTTGATAACAAAAAGCACTTTAAGAGTATTTTGTGATTCGGATCTCCTACTCGATTTACCAATGTAAGGTTCTCATCTAAGAACAAAATATTTAAGCATGCATTTTAGCCAAAAGTATCCGTCCCTGCCACGTGACGACGGTGACGGCCGGATAATCCCCCCCCCCTCACATTTGCAAAAAATGTCCAAAATACACACTTTTCAAACCTAATATCCGTTTTCATTATGAACACTGAGCACATCTTGACATTGTCTTCTATTGGATGATTTTGCAAAATCGGAAAATATTGGAAATGCTTTTCAAACTCTTATTATCATTATAGTTATAGAACAAAAACCAGTAATAAAAAAAAATGGCCATACAAATAAGGCATTTGTATACTGTAGTGACAAATCTACATAGATAAATAAATAAACATAGATAGCTTATGTACGCAAAATCACCAAGAATTGTACAGTCCGCGAACTCATACTTCTAGGGGTCAAAGTGTACTTCAATGATAAGCGGGGTGNAAAGTGAAAAGTGTAAAGTGTATAGTGTAAAGTGTATAGTGTAAAGTGTATCATGTAAAGTGTATAGTTATAGTGTATAGTGAAAAGTGAAAAGTGTAAAGTGTATAGTGTAAAGTGTATAGTGTATAGTGTATAGTGTAAAGTGTATAGTTAAAAGTGTAAAGTGTATAGTGTATAGTGTATAGTGTAAAGTGTATAGAGTGTATATATCCAATTTTCAAATGCCCCTTTGTTGGTATTTCCAAGCATCAACGGTAAAGCTTTGTCTGATCAAAAATGTTACTTGTGCGGATTTCTAGCTACAGAAACAATATACAAACTAAACAATTTTTAAGCTTGAAGAACGACGACATGTTGCATTAAAGATACCGTTTGGGAATTGGACATGATCCTATTTAAAAATGTCAAGTCCCTCTGAGGCTATTTCATCCAGGATTAATTTTAACATTGTAAAAAAGTGAAATCAAAATGACCATTTCCTGTAATTATATACGTGAACATCGCCATACAATGGGTTGTATGGGTTCTGCGATATAAAACCTTAAACAATATTAAATGAAAAGAATCAGTCGAATGATTATCGTACATGGTGTATCTGTATTCAAAATACTTCATGTATCCAGTGTATATCTATATAGTACAGGGTGTATCTGTTTCCAGGATACTTCATGTATCCAGTGTGTATCTATATAGTACAAGGTGTATCTGTATCCAGGATACTTCATGTATCCAGTGTATATCTATATAGTACAGTGTATATCTGTATCCAGGATACTTCATGTATCCAGTGTATATCTATATAGTACAGGGTGTATCTGTATCCAGGATACTTCATGTATTTAGTGTGTATCTATATAGTACAGAGTGTATCTGTATCCGGAATACTTCATGTATCCAGTGTATATCTATATAGTACAGGGTGTATCTGTATCCAGGATACTTCATGTATCCAGTGTATATCTATATAGTACAGGGTGTATCTGTAACCAGGATACTTCATGTATCCAGGTTGTATCTAAATAGTACAGAGTGTATCTGTATTCGGGATACTTCATGTATCCAGTGTATATCTGTATAGTACATAGTGTATCTGTATCCAGGATACTTCATGTATCCAGTGTATATCTGTATAGTGTAGGGTTTATCTGTATCCAGGATACTTCATGTATCCAGTGTGTATCTATATGGTACCAGGTTGTATCTGTATCCAGGATACTTTATGTATCCAGTGTGTATCTATATAGTACAGAGTGTATCTGTATCCAGGATACTTAATGTATCCAGTGTGTATATTTATAGTACAGGGTGTATCTGTATAGTACAGGGTGTATCTGTATCCAGGATACTTCATGTATCCAGTGTGTATTTATATAGTACCAGGGTGTATCTGTATCCAGGATACTTCATGTATCCAGTGTGTATCTATATAGTACAAGCTGTATCTGTATCCAGGATACTTCATGTATCCAGTGTGTATCTGCATCCAGAATACGGCATGTATCAGAATACAGCAATCCCGATATTTGTTAACCTAGAAAAAAACATGAGCTACGTTATATGATTAAAACATGCATCATGTTGAGATTAACTACGTTTATGTCTATCCATGTTAATCCTTTAAAATATGTACATTCAACTTAAACTTCTGGGTAAACATGTGTGGAGATGGCTTAACTACGTTATATCTATCCTCGCTGATCTTAAAAATACGTACATTAAACTTTAACTGTGCTCTAAATACCTAACATGATTGTCTTAATCATGTGATATAGATAACAACATAGGAATTGTAGTTACATCTATTAACTTTAACATATAAAACATAAAACCTGAAATATATTAGTTAATATAGAAACTTCCCTTTGATTACTGTGTTGAGAGTAATTTGGTTTTCGTTGAAACATACAAGCCATGTTGATTGTGTCCTGTTTGAGACATTGATCTATTGATTGCTATTGTCCAGTTGGTATAGCTAATTAGATTGGTATTGCCCATTGTTAGTGGTGTTGATTAATCACCGCATTGTAGCCGTATGGATCGTGTCCTGTTAGGGACATTGATCTTTTTATTGCTAGTGTCCGTATTGACACCGATAGCCAACAATATTGTGCCCAGTGGTAGTGGCGTTGATAGTTCACTGGATTGTAGCCATGTTGATTGTGTCCTGTTTGAGACATTGATCTATTGATTGCTATTGTCCAGTTGGTATAGCTAATTAGATTGGTATTGCCTATTGTTAGTGGTGTTGATAAATCACCGCATTGTAGCCGTATGGATCGTGTCCCGTTTGAGATATTGATCAATTGTTTGCCCGTGGCCGGGGCCGCCGGTTGACATAGCTAACAAGATTGCACCCAGTGGAATGGAATTGATAGTTCACGGGATTCTAGCCGTGCGGATCGTGTCCTGTTAGGGACATTGATCTTTTTATTGCTAGTGTCCGTATTGACACCGATAGCCAACAAGATCGTGCCCAGTGGTAGTGGCGTTGATAGTTCACTGGATTGTAGCTGTGCGGATCGTGTCCTGTTTGAGACATTGATCTATTCATTACTAGTGTCCTGTTTGATATTTATAGCGGTCGGTCCAGGATACTTTTCATGTATCCAGTGTATATAGTAATAGGTTTATCTGTATCTTAATAAATTTTGTTTAGATATTTAACCCTAGTATTCCTAGTAGAGTATAGAATGTATAAGTTTTCCTCTCTCTAGAAATAGAATGCATTTATTTAATTTGCAACATTTCCGCTCCCTTAGTATTCAGGGTACAGCCCTGTTTATATTTTACAGCTAAATATCTTTAGTTTCTCGGCAAACAAACTTTTTCAACTTTTTAGAAAAAAATCCGATTTTAATAATAATAATAATAATAATCTCAATAATTGTACGGATGTTACGTCCACTGTCCAGATCTTAATAATTGTAAGGTTGGTACGTCCAGATCTTAATAATTGTAAGGATAGTATGTCCGGATTTTAATATTTGTAAGGATAGTATGTTCGGATCTTAATAATTGTAAGGATAGTATGTTCGGGTTTTAATATTTGTAAGGATAGTACGTCCGGATTTTAATATTTGTAAGGATAGTATGTTCGGATCTTAATAATTGTAAGGATAGTATGTTCGGATCTTGATAATTGTAAGGATAGTATGTTCGGATCTTAATAATTGTAAGGATAGTATGTCCGGATCTTAATAATTGTAAGGATAGTATGTTCGGATCTTAATAATTGTAAGGATAGTATGTTCGGATCTTAATAATTGTAAGGATAGTATATCCGGATCTGAATATTTGCAGTGATAGTATAACCGGATCTGAATATTTGCAGTGATAGTATATCCGAATCTCAATAAATGTTGTCCTAGTATATCCGAATCTTAATAATTGTAAGGATAGTATGTCCAGATCTGAATAATTGTAGTGATAGCATATCCGGATCCGGATCTTAAGTACAGTAAAATCCGGATACTGTATTCCTACCTTCTTGTTGGTTAATATTCCCATTAGATGGACTAGAGAGCAGGAACGGTCGGCTTCTATCCTCTTTCAAAATTTCAGTCTGTAAGCAACAACATTAAAAATGATTTATCAAAAATAATTATTTTTTCTTTATTAAAAATTCATATTTCTTGCCTGGACAGTGTCAACGTATAATCTAAAAAGAAAAAAGATTTAGAAAAATGAAAATAAAAGTTTTAATATTTGCAAAAACCAAGCTTGCATTCTAATTTAATGTTTATACAGAACTTGTTTAAAAGTATTCTTCGACTTAAAGTTGGAAATCTAGTATTTTTTAACATAGTATACAATTAAATAGGAAGAGCTCATTTCTAGTTCAAATAAGTTTAGATTTAAAACTTCAGAAATTCTGATTAAACCAACAGAAGCTATGCGAAAGAAATTGAGTTTTTGCCAAAAACTCAAATTTTTTAATTCCTATATCTTTGCAACCTGGTGGTGTAAACGTTTGATATTCCAAACTTAAATTATTTCATTTAACAGAATCCATAATATGAAATACCTAAGGTCTGCGACATTGGGTTTCAAGGATACATGTAATAGAAAATCGTAGATTGTGGCAAAGACTCAATTTCTTTAAATACTTTTTAAAGTTTAATACCTGATGTAGTCCTCTTTGTATACTGAGAAGTTAGTGTCAGTTCCATACCAGTTCCCCCTGCAAGCAATTTCATACTTTAGTAATCTCTATAATCTTTTGCAGCCTGATAATGTAAAATTATGATTATTTGATCAAGTTAAACTCATAGTTCAAAATCACAAAGCTCTTCGACATTAGGTCGCAAAGATATAGGGATCAGAACATTGAGTAAAATGCAACTTTACAACAGACCTTGGGTTCTTTACTTACTCCAGACCCTGATATCTTTACTCCAGACCCTGAAATCTTTACTTCAAGCCCTGAGATTTTTACTCCAGACCCGGAGATCTTTACTCCAGACCCTGAATTCCTTACTTCAGACCCTGATATCTTTACTCCAGACCCTGAAATCTTTAATCCAGACCCTAAGATCTTTACTCCAGACCCTGAGATTTTTACTCCAGACCCTGATATCTTTACTCCAGACCCTGAGATCTTTACTCCAGACCCTGAGATCCTTACTCTAGACTCTGAGATCTTTACTCAAGACCCTGAGATCTTTACTCCAGACCCTGAGATCTTTACTCCAGACCCTGAGATCTTTACTCCAGACCCTGAGATCTTTACTCCAGACCCAGAGATCTTTACTCCAGACCCTGATATCTTTACTCTAGACTTGAGATCTTTACTCCAGACCCCGAGATCTTTACTCTAGACTCTGAGATCTTTACTCTAGACTCTGAGATCTTTACTCCAGACCCTGAAATCATTACTCAAGACCCTGATATCTTTACACTAGACCCTGAGATGTTTACTCCAGACCCTGGGAATTTTTACTCCAGACCCTAAGATCTTTACTCCAAACCTTGGGATCTTTACTCGAGACTCTGGGATCTTTACTCCAGGTCTTGGGATCATTACTCTAGACTCTGAGATCTTTACTCCAGACCCTGAGATCTTTACTCTAGACCCTGAGATCTTTACTCCAGAAACTGAGATCTTTACTCCCGACCCTGGGAATTTTTACTCCCGACCCTGGGAATTTTTACTCCAGACCCTAAGAAACTCCAAACCTTGATATCTTTACTCTAAACTCTGGGATCTTTACTCCAGACCCTGGGTTTTTAATCTAAACAATTCGTTGAATCCTTCCGTTCAATTTAATTTGATATTTAACTTTCATCCTTTTAAATAAAATCTAATCTCAATTAATTAGTTTAGAATGATAAATGCTTCTGTCTAAGAGACATTTTGCAAAAGATTTTATCATCATGCAACTGATGACGTAATCCCTGGATCACGTGTCACGGGATTAAGACTTGATCCACTATTTTTCTTGATCTCGAGAGTAAATAAGGCTTGTTCTCCTCTTGTTATTAATCTCCAGATTGATTAAACGATCGGGATTAAGGATATCACATTCTTCTCAGCTCAGAGCTGAAAACTTTAGAATGGTGGCGAGATTGATGCTTGATCGTCTCTTTTTCTTAATATCGAGACTAACCTAATCTTGTTCTAGTTTCCTAAAAAGTGTATAACTTCAACCAATCAGAAGCCGATAAATATGAAAATTTGCGCGCCATTTTAGATTAATATACAGAAACGGGAGGAATCTCTAATATTAAAAACCAGTTTTTTTTCTTCTATATCCAAGAAAGAACGGTTTAAGAAGAAAATCAAAAGTGTGTCCATTGGATACTCAGATTAAGTAATCGGGATTAGGGATATCTCATTCTAAAGTTTTCAGCTAAGTCATAACTTTTGTATAGCATACCGAGGAGCGTAGCGTCCATACAAATTCACAAAGTTACATTATTCCACTCAGATCATAAATAATTCATTCAGATACTACAACCTATAATCTTTGAATTAAATTCGATGCATTCGAAAATAGTTAATATTTAATAATATTTTTATTTGTTTCATCCATATTGGAATCGTTGTTTGGGTGTTTGTTTGTCCGTTCATAACTCTAAAACCCTGGACCGATTTGCCTCCATTTTGATTGGGGAACTCGGGAGGCTCACGGGAGCTTAGCTTAGTTTTAAGATTAAGTAGGTCGACTTTAATAAAAAAAAACTTTAGTGTCGACCGCTGAACTTTTGTATTAGATATTCGGTAAAACCTGAAAAACCTAGGCTAAGCCGGTGCATCGCAGGAGAAGAACTGATACGAATAATTCCATATTTAGAATATGTGTGACACATTCGGAAATAAATTATAAATGCATCAATAAAAAACAAAGATAAACTTAAAAAATACAGCTGCTGTCTTTGCTAGTATATATTTTTTAAACCTTGAAATTTGTATCCTGTCTCTGATGTATAACTTTTTAAATATCTATCTCAAATAGCATTGAAAATAAATTCTCTTCACTAGATATTTAATTTTAACGCTGAACATTCAACCTTTAAGTGTTTAACATGAAGATATTTCATGGGGAAAATACATTCTGTTCACTAGATATTTAATTTTAACGCTGAACATTCAACCTTTAAGTGTCTAACATGAAGATATTTTCCATGGGGAAAATAAGAGATTTTTTTCCGTGTCTTATTACAATGTTGATTCATTTTGAGGTAGTTAGACGTCTCCCGAAAACAATAAACATGTTTATCAGGTAAAGATAAACAATAAATAAACAATTCGGAAATGAATAAAAATACAGAAACTGTTATTTTTCTATTTTTGTTTTGCAAACAGAGAAGGAAAATAAAGGGGAATATATTTACATTTTGAAGAAAATATGTACACACAAAAAAAACTAGCGCTTAAAATTACAAAAGTTGTCTAGGATTTCCAATCAATTTAACAATTTGTGAAATTGTGAAGCTTTGCATAAATAAAATTCGAAATGCGTAATACCTTTAAGCTGCATGAAATTTAGATATTTTGAAAGCTCATATTTGATATTTCATCTGGTTTTTACTTCCTTTATGTAGATATTATAGATATTATGTACACTGTTAAGCCCTTGTATTGCTATAGCCTAACTCTGGGTTCTATTAGATTAGATTTGATATTTTATCTGGTTTTTACTTCCTTTATGTAGATATTATAGATGTTATGTACACTGTTTATAGATATTATGTACACTGTTGAGCCCTTGTATTCTATAGCCTAACTCTGGGTTCTATTAGATTAGATTTTAGGCTTGGTTATTATTATTTATGAATACATATTCGCAATTTAGGTCATAGTCCTCCATTTGCCATATGGTTATTTAGAAAAACAGTTCCATTTTTGATACGATTGCTAGTTTAACATTTACATAATAGTAACATTTGCAATATGATGGTTAGTAATTTGACAAATAGCATCATTTGCGATATATTGGTTAGTTTATCATAACAGTAACATTTGTGATATGATGGTTAGTTAAACATTTACATAACAGTAACATTTGCAATATGATGGTTAGTTGGACAAATAGCATCAGTTGAGATAAGATGGTTAGTTTATCATAACAGTAACATTTGTGATATAATGGTTAGTTGGACAAATAGCATTATTTGAGATAAGATAGTTAGTTCAACATAACAGTAACATTGTCGATATGATGGTTAGTTTATGATAACAGTAACATTTGTGATATAATGGTTAGTTTATCATAACAGTAACATTTGTGATATGATGGTTAGTTTAACATAACAGTAACATTTGTGATATAATGGATAGTTTATCATAACAGTAACATTTGCGATATAATGGTTAGTTTGACATAACAGTAATGATACGATTGCTGGTTTAAAAAAACAGTATCTTTTGCGATACGATGGTTAGTTTGACAAACAGTTCAAGAATTATTGTACACTTTACGGTAAAATTGTACTTTGTTAATGTTTCCTTGGTAAACAAAATCAGTAAACTTTCCTCACCTAGAAAACTTGTTAAAGAAAAAGAAATAAAGCAAACTAACAACTTCACACTTTTTAACTACTTGAAATATATTTATATACATAAAAAACAACCACAAAAGTTCAAATTGTTTTTTTGGAGAAATTTCGGGGTTCAACCCCATTCCCACGCTCGGAGCTGAAGTTATCTGAAATATTGATTTAAAACTGGAAAATAAAGTACATCAATTAGACCTTGGCAACGTTCTGTTAATGAACGGCAGGTTTAAAATATTGTGTTAACAAACGGCAGGTTTAAAATATTCCGTTAACGAACGGCATTTTTAAAATATTCCGTCAACAAACAGCAGGTTAAATATATTCCGTTAACAAACGACAGGTTTAAAATATTCCGTTAACAAACGGCAGGTTGAATATATTCCGTTAACAAACAGCAGGTTAAATATATTCCGTTAACAAACGACAAGTTTAAAATATTCCATTAACAAACGAAAGGTTTAAAATATTGCGTTAACAAACGGCAGGTTAAATATATTCCGATAACAAACGACAGGTTTAAAATATTTCGTTAACAAACGACAGGTTTAAAATATTGCGTTAACCATCGGCAGGTTTAAAACATTCCGTTAATAAACGGCAGGTTTAAAATATTCCGTTAACAAACGGCAGGTTTAAAATATTCCGTTAACAAACGGCAGGTTTAAAATATTCAGTTAACAAACGGCAGGTTAAAAATATTCCGTTAACAAACGACAGGTTTAAAATATTCCGTTAAGAAACGGCAAGTTTAAAATATTCTTTTAACAAACGGCAGGTTTAAAATATTCAGCTAACGAATGGTAGGTTTAAAATATTCCGTTAACGAACGGCAGGTTTCAAATATTTCATTAACGAACGGGAAGTTTAAGATATTCTTTTACAAATGGCAGGTTTAAAATATTCCATTAACGAACCGCAGGTTTATATTCCGTTAAGGAACGGAACTAACCATTGATAAAGTTTTAAAGTGTCTAGCAGTAATATCAACTGTTGAATAAACCTAATTTTGGGCCAAACCTGAGTGAAGAATTAATCTTAGGCGAATTTACAGAATTTGAGCGTCCCAAATTTGAGATGTGACTCATACATGGTTGGTTCGTTTAAAATTGTATTCAGTGTTTCAAGATTTGAGCCGGCGCTCAATTGGAACCGGTTTTTGGTGGAAGCACACTATAACGATAT